GCCTCCCAGATTCCCACTTGGTGGTCTGGAGGGATAATATCTGGGGCGGGCTTCCTGGAGAAATGGGCCTACCATTCCCCAGCCCTGAGGCCGTGCTCTCATAGGACAGTAGCACTTTCTGTAAATAACTGCTGAGCTGAAGTTGCCTTTTCTGGCTGAGTCAGGGTTCACTAAGGGCCAGTGTGGCCTCTCAACAGGCTGGGGCTGGAGGAAGTCTGGTTGTTCCCCTCTCAGGAGGGGAAAGGCCAGGCCTCACATGGGAAACCAAAACCCTGACTGAAGCAATCCCAGGCCAGCAACTATTCCTACCTCCCTGGACCCAGGTTCCAGGAGCCGGGCGGGCAGGCCTGAAGGGCAAGGCAGGGGCATCCAGACTTCGCCTTTGCCAAGGAGTTGCCGAGGATCTGGCACAGAACTGGGCTGCCCCAAGGAGAATCATGTATTCATTCAACCATCATTTCCCAAGTGCCTGCTGTGTGCCAGGCCTTGAGCCAGAAGTCAAGGATACAGAGACGGACAGGGCAGTCCCAGCCTGGGGGGTTCACGGAAACACTCAGCATGCCACAGAACAGCAACAAAGAGGAAAGTACTCGGTGTACATAAGCACAGAGGACAGGGTTGGGCAAAGTCTGCCACTGACGTTCAGACCTACTTCCCCTCAGGAAGCTTAGAGTCATGTTGGGGAGACCCAGCCACCCCCAGGAAGAGCAGGGCAGCACCACACAGCCAGAAATGACTAGCATCTTGGGCACGTACAACCTTGTGTTGGAGAGGCCCAGAGGGCCGTGCAGGAGGCAGGTGCTCTAGGCAATGTTCCTGGAGGCCGGAGAAGCAACCTGGTACAAGCTTTGAAAGATGAGCCAGAGGCAGAAAAGAACAGCTCTCATTTATGGAGCACTCGCTGTGTGCAGGTATGAAATCGCTAAGCTTCACATACACACTTTTGCTTTATCTCATGTCCCCCTGTGAGGTAGTTACCAATATTATCCCCAATTTTCAGATTCAGAAACTGAGGCTCAGGAAGGGTCACATAGCTAAGAATGAGCAGGGCAAAGATTCCAGCTCCAAGTCCAACTCTTCACCACTGCGTTGCACCATGTGCCTAACTGCAGACAGGCAGAAGGAAGCTGAGGATGCTCCGGTGGAGGGTAAGCAAGGGTGAGGCGGTGGGACCGCTTACGGTATGTTTGAGAGGAGTCACCCACTGCCACTCTGTACTGAGAGCCTGTGTTGTGTGTGTGTGTCCGCGCATACACACCTGCAAACGCATGCATGTGGGCTCACATGTACCTACTTTACAAATGACAGATCCTGGTTATAGAACCCCCTGAGAGCCAAGTGGAGAATAGGCCATTAGCAGGGCAGGGAAGGGAAGCCCAGACAAGGAGATGGAACTTATGGAGGGTCACACTGCCTGTAAACAGAGGAATTGGAAAGAACCTCAAGAACCAGAGTCGGCCTCTCCCTCCGCTCAGCTGCTTCACCATGCCAGTGCAGAGTGAATCAGCTGCTGACAGGAAAGCCACGGCAGAGGGAGAATCCCAGGGTTGAGTCAGGAACCAGCCAGATCCCAGACACCAACTGGGTCTGTGGCTGGCCTCCTGCTCACAGGCAGCATCAAGGGGGAAGGGAAGGGGGAAGCAACACATGTACAACACCACTGATGTTTACCTCTGGACTTCCCTCTGGGCTCCTTGGATCAAGGCTTAGAGGAGGGGAAGCGGTGGGCAGGGCAGTTCCTGCTGAGATGAAACCAGCCCTTCACCCCTCACCCCACCTCATCCCACAGAGGGGCCCAGACCTTTCCTTCCCTCCTGCCTCTCCCAGAGCCAACTCCTGAGGGTTTAATGCTCTTGATTACATCATAACCACCCCCTCTGATCTTCCCATGGGGGGAAGAAGTGGGTATAACAGTTTGGAGCAAGCGGTCAAGCCAAAACAAGGGGGTGCCAGCTGGCCCCAGAAGTTCCAAATCCAAAGGAATGCTCAAGGCTTGGGTCTGCTCAGCCCTGTGCCAAGAGGGACTGTCTGGTCCTCAAGGAAAGCAGGTTGGGTCCCAGGGTTGGGGGTGGAGGGGAAGTGGGGAGGAGAAGCTTTCAGTGGCTTAAAAGTCTGAGGCCTCAAGAGAGAAGGGACTGCCCCACATGGCAGAAACTTCAGAGGAGCCTGGGGGAATAAAAATCCACCCCCACATGTGGGAAATTTGTGCCTCTCTGGCTAACCTCTGACCCAGGCCCTCCCTGGGCTGGGGCTAGGAGGAAGAGAGCCACAGACATTTCTCCCCATCTACCCTGCTCCCAAACCCACTGCTGACTGGCTAAAGGTCTGCCACTTGGCCCACATGCCCCGTCATGGCAAACACGGGGCCTCCTTGGGTGGCTCCCTCTCTGTTACTCTGTAGCAGCACTCATCACCCTCCCCAGCACCCCTGCCCACCCAATCCAGCACCTTCCTGAGCCCCTGCTATGCACCATGATCTAGCCTGGGTGGGGAACAGAAAGAAACACGGGGCATACACTGGGACACTCTCACCTCTCCTATGTCACCTGGGTCCCTCCCACCCCTCTGATGGTACCTTTTCTATCCCCCAGCTGCAGATATCCTGAAAGCTCCCAAGGGGGGGCCTCCTTCCTCATCACCACAGCCTCAGTTCATCATCTCTTGACCACTGGGTCACCTACTCCAGCATATCTGGCAGACTGCCTCTCCTTAAGTGCCACTCTGATTGTCACTCCCATGCTCAAATACCTTCAGTGGCTCTTACTTTCTACAAATCCAAACATCTCACCTTGGCATTCAAGGCCCTCCATGAGTTGATCCAACCTACCATTCCTTTACATCCCTGCACAGTCCCAACTCTTCAGCTGGACTGATCAACCAGGAAGTTTCTTTAACTCTCCCTGAACACTCTGACCTCCTTGCCTTTGCCTATTTTCCTCTGCCCAAAACACTGTCTTCCTTGTAGCTGCTGAAACCTTCCTAATCCACCTAAACTCCATCTCTTCCAGGAAGCTTTCCTGAAGATCCTGCTAATCCTTTCTTCATTTATCTCCTATCAGAGTCACTAGTACCCTTGTCTTAGCTCCTTCCTAGGTAGTAAGCAACTAAGGATGGGATCAATGTGTCACCGTTTGTCATTCATCATGTGGAGAAGAGTGGGGGGTAGGACTTTCCAGGAGATGCTTACTAAGCACTGTTTGAAATGACCAACCAGGACTTGGAAGCCCAGGCAGAAAGTCCTGCTCAAGTCTTACCAACTCTAAGAAATGCCCTCACTCCCTGCCCTGCTTTCTCTAGTGTTTCACTTCTTCTAAGTACCACCTCCATCCTATTCTCTCCCTCTCTCTTACTTACTGTAGGCTTCAATCAGACTCTGTCCCATAGTACTTTCCAGTTGGCTTCAGAGTGTAGGGCTCACCTCCCCAGGAGGTGCAGGGAGCCAGCATGCAGCATTCCCAGTCTCCTCCAGTGCCCATCTCTGATCAAACAGATAACAGGTGCCCACATTGCCCCTCAACTCCACCCCATGCCAAGTGTGCAATAGAAGAGCTGGATTCCAGCCACCAGAGCAGTACAGACCCATGAAATCTCATGTGGCCTGGAGCCCTGGGTCTGAGTTATCCTCTCCAGTAGGGGCCTGGTGGGGATGGGGAGTCCTTACTGTCAGCAACTCAAAAATCAGGGCAGAGACCAGGTCTAGCTAGTTGACCTCTGAAACAATACTTAATATATGGTAGGTGCTCAGTACACATTTTTGTGTTTATTAATTGAACACCCACCAACCTCAAGCAATATTATAGAAAACTCACCTACCCTTTGGTCCAGATGACAATCTGAACCTCAGTCTTGAAATGAACAAAGTGATGCTGGTGGCAGGTGGCAATTTCTGGCCCTCACAAGGCAGAAGGGGATGCAGCCAGTCTCTGACCCTCCAAAAACAGGCTCATTCCCAGGCAGGAAGCCAGCCCACCACCTGCCCATCCACATCAGGGCAGCTGGCATGTAGTGAGGCCTCACTGAGTGCCTGGCGCCTCCCTAAGCCCTGTATACACACTATTCCATTAAGTCCTCACTACTGCCATTGGGTACTATCATTACCCCCATTTTACAGATGAGGAAACTGAAGTTTAGGGGGGGAGTGGAAGCCAAGTCAGTTTGGTCCCAAAGCCCAAGCCCTTGACCACTGATCTAGGCTGCCCAACCACCAAGGCCCTGGCACAGACCACCCACAACCACCAAGGACAGAAACCTCCAGGCCCAGGAATAACCCTGGGCATTCAGCAAGAGCCCCAGGGACCTGGGCTTGACTCTGGGTCCAAAGTTTGGCCGTTTTTTCCCTTCCCTTCCCCACTCACCGAATGAGAACTTGTCCCCTGCTTTTTGCCCTGGGCCCCCCCAGGCCAACTCACCTGGAAAAGCCCTTGAAGGGGCACAAAAGCCCCCTTGAGTTTCCTACCCAAAGTCATACTGGGCTCTCAGAGTTGGGGGGAAGGGAGATGAAAACTCCCTGCCTTGGGCTCCACTCCCCCTGGGCTTGTGGGTTCAGATAGTTACCCCATCTGAGTAACTAGTGTAACCTTTAAAGCAATTCGCTCACGCTGGCGGAGACTGGGCTTTGCTCCTTGCACTCAGCAGGCAGGGAAACTGCGGTCTGACAGCACGACCTGAATATCCGTAGCTGAACTGCAGGTTCTCACCTGCCAGCCTCACCTTCCGGGGTTTTAGCGAGAAAGGGCAACTGGGCCGTGAAGTTCACCTGGTTCGACCTCCTTGTACTGGAACCCGTGAGGTCTGGAGCCCAGGGTCACACAGCTGGTGCATGCGGAGCTGGAGAACCGGGGTTCAAGGCTCCGGAACTTAAGCTCCTCACCCACCAGCTGCCTCCGTGGCCCGACCTGTCACTTGTTCCGAGAAAGCTGCCCAAGCGCGCTCTGGAAGCGGTGGCGAAAACTCACTTCGCCACCGGCTGTCCGGCCGGCCTCCCCGCGGCCCCCGCTCACCTGCCCGCTGTGCTTTCCGCTCGGCGCCGCCGACCTGGCCTCGCTCGCTCGCGCCCCGCTCGGATCC